TGCATGGTTCAAAATTGGGAGAGGCGTATGCCAGGGATATGTCCTATCTCCATACTTTTTCAACCTGTATGCAGAACAGATTATCAGAGAGGCTGGGCTCTATGAGGAGAGAAGTGTGGCATCAGGATTGGTGGAAGATCTATTAACAATCTGTGTTATGCAGATGACACAACCGTGCTTGCTGATACTGAGGAGGACCTCATGCACTTGCTGCAGACGGACAAGGACTGCAGCCTTCAGTATGGATTGAAGCTCAATGTCAAGAATGCAAAGATTCTCACCACTGGACCAATTGGCAGCATTAGGATGGATGGTGAAGAGATTGAGATTGTTAACTTCAGTCTGCTTGGCTCCACGGTCAACACTCTTGGCACCAGTAGCCAGGAAATAAAAAAATGTATTGCGATGGGAAAGTCTGCTCTTAGGGACCACTCCAGGGTACTGAAGAGAAATGCTGTCACTCTGGAGACTAAGATGCGTCTGATACAGGCTACGGTCTTTGCAATCACTTGTTACGCATCAGAGTTGGACAATGACTAAGGAGGATATAAGGAGAATTGATGCCTTTGAGATGTGGTGCTGGAGAAGAGTGTTGAAGGTACCATGCACTGCCAAGAAAACAAACGGATTCATCCTGGAGAGGGTTAAACCAGGCTGCTCCTTGCAGGCAAGGATTCTGGGGCTTCGTCTGACATACTTTGGACATGTAAGGAGGAAGAGGTCCTTGGAGAGGGACATCATGCTTAGGAGAGTGGAGGGATAGCGCAGAAGGGGACGACCCTCTATGAGGTAGATTGATTCATTGACTGGGGTAATCAGGATGGGTGTGCCAGAGGCAGTGAGATTGGCACAGGATAGAGTACGGTTTAGGGCATAGCGATATAGGGTCCCTATGAGTCGCAAGAGACTCGACGGCACATAACAACAATATACTGACCCTCTACCCTTCCACGCATGATATCCTTCTCCAGCTTCTGGTCCGTCCTGACAACATGCCTCAGTTATGTGAGACGGAGCTTCAAATTCCTTTCCATGAGGTAGAAACCTAGTTTTAACCTCTCTAGGACAGATTTGTTTGTTCTCTTGGCAGTCTATAATATATTTAGTACTTGTCTCTAGCACCACAACTCAACAATATCAATTCTTCTGTAATCCTTATTCATTGTCCAACTCTCAGATGCATAGCAAGTATTTGAGAAGACCATATCCTGGATTGGATGCACCTTAGTCTCTAAACTGACAGCATTGCTGTTTTGCACTCTGGAGAGGTCCTTGACATCAGATTTTCCCAATGCAACTTTTGACTTACTGATTGCTGGTGCCACGGATATTGATTGTAAATGATAACATGATGAAACTATTAATAGCCTTGATCTTTTCTCCATTTTTATCATGAAGCTGTCCAATGACCCTATAATGAGGATTAGGAAATAGTTTAGTTCTTTTTGCTTTTTCTCAGTTGTTTGATGATGGCACCTTAATAAATGATATGTCTATTTCCTAGTATTCCTTTTAGTGCCAACAAGAGTGGACTTTTGTCATTTGCAGTGATAAAACATAGGTCCTCACTACAGGACCAACCGTCAACATTATGATAATGGAAAAAGAAGTGAAGCTGTCAATGATTTCATCTTGCTGGAATCAACAGTCAATATCCTTAGCACCAGCAGTCAGGAAATCAAGAGGCATATTGTATTGGCTAAATTCACTGTCAGACACCCCTTCAAAATTCTTAGCTACAATGTTGTCAGTTTGAAAACTGACATGCATCTGATCCAGGCTGTATTCTTCTCAATCACCTACTATCCATCAGAAAGTTGGACAATGAAGAAGGATGACAAGTGACAGAAGAATAATTAATGCCTTTGAGCTGTGGTACTGAAGAAGAGTACTGAGTATCCCATGGACTGCCAAAAGAACAAATACATACATATCTCAACTAGAGTGCTTCTTGGAGGTAATGATGTAAAAACTTCATCTTTCATACTTTGAGTATGTAGCTAGGTGTAATTATTCCTTCAAAAGGGACATCATGCTTGGAAAGATGGAGGATAAGTGAAGAAGACCTCAGGGAGATGATTGACATGGTGACTTCATCAATGAGCTCTAGTGTTTTAGAGATTATGGGGATGGGACAGGATAGGGCAAGTGTTTATAGGGGTTGCTGTGACTTGTGCTTGACTTGGCATCACTTAAAACCAATAGGAATATTAACCTTAGCCTGCTTCAAAAAATTTGAATGCCATGGGCTTTTTGGAACGGCCATAAACAATTTTTCAATCTATTTAGAGATGCGTCTGTGAGAATTCTGACAGATATCTTCTAGAGGATATATGGTTGGAATTATGTGTGTACAAGCACATGTGTTCATAAGAGATTGAGAAAAGGAAAATAAATATGGAGATGTGAATGTGGAAGTGGTTTTATCTTGTCAAAACTTTATGGAAGAAATTTGGACTGATCTGGTAAGTATCACCACTTAAGAAGTGTGAAACATCTATCTATCTCTGCAAACTTCACTTACAGAGCTGACACAGAATATACAGGATACAGTATTAACAAGACCCAAGATATGGAAAAGAGAAGTTCCCTCAGCACCAGTGCTCAATCTTAACTAGGAACATAGATGGGGCTAGAATAAAAAAAA